AGAATTTAAGAAATCCTAAGCAGTAACTTAGAGCACTATTTAAAACAATCTCAACTTGTTCACAGGACAAAGAAAAAGCATTAAATTAATTGCCCTTTTCATCATGTATTAATTTTTAATTCTAAGTAACTATAAAACTCAAATCATGATGCATAAACAGAAACTAACAACCTTAGAGACATTGTATGGAAGTTACACTAGAGGTAATACCTAACCTACATTATGACTGTAAATATGGACTTTATTAATGATAACCAAATACATGTTATGCAAATAATGCCAGTTAATATTTTATATTCATGACATATACACATAAAATATAATACCATGTAAATGAACACTAACTTTTCTCCATTGCCCCAGGCAAACAAGGTCCCATCCTTACAAAAGGTATATACTTTGCAATTTTTCCCAGATTCCCTGAAAATGACAAAGAAAAAAAAAGTTTAAATTAGTAAGCATTAATACATTTCAAAAATCTGATTAAAAATTCACAATATTACTACTAATCTTCACCACTAAGAACTTACATAAATTTGAAAAAAAAAGAAAGTCCAAAATACTTTAGTCTCTTCTGTCAAAATACTTTATCACTCAAAATATGGTACCCATGACTACTAAAAGAAGCTAGAAACTAATTTTATACCAACAAATCAATCTTAAGATGCAGAGAGCCCTTCTGGGTCAATAACTAGTTTGTATGAAGACCTGAAAATATACGTAAACATGGAAGTGACCAGCCGTCAGCCCCGATCCTGAGAGGGCTGAAGGGTTTCAGCACATGGAATATACCAGACTACCTGCAGCGCCAAACAACAGCAGGCAGAATATCCTTAAGAGGCCAAGTGCCCTTGGATTTGAAGGTCCCATTAATTTTTCGTAGCAACAATGTTTCACAACGTGAAGAATGTGACCAATGTCAGTAAACTATAAATGTAGAAACTGAATTAGCGTATGTTTTGTCTGTATGTATTTTCACACAATTAATAAAAAGAAAAACAGACCAATGGAAATCAGACAAGACTTCTTGGCAATATTCTATCAAGAGAATATCAAAACCACAAGTACTGTATCTCTCAAACTAGAGATGGCCACTGTGCATACATCTCCCAGTGATAATGAAGATCCAAACAGAAACGTGTATAAGGATAGGACCTTGTGTCTATACATGCAGCCACAATATTAGGTTACAACTTCATGGCTAATAAATACCTGAATTGTTAAATAAAAACAAAGTGGCACTAAGAACTGAGCAGTATACTTTCCTTAAGCCAGACGCTATCATTGTTTGGATTAATTCATCTAAAGATGACATTCGTGTTTCTGCAGTCATACAATAATGGTACCTTATACATTTGATCTATTGGTATAAAATTAGTTACCTAAACATTTTTCTCTCTCTGTCATGTGAACAACTGTGACCAATATCTCACTCTTCCTATACAGTACAATTCATATCTGAACCTAAAACCAGAATTTTATAACCTTCCTTATTAAGTTACCTCCTTTAGATTTTGATGTATTATTCCAGTCTACGGAGATCTACTTAAACTTTGATTTTTCTCTTTTAAAACAGGAGTCATTCCACACAGATTTATGTAATGTGGAAATTATAAAACATCATATTTTTTGTTTTTGTTTTTTTAATTTTTATTGTGATTTAGGTGAAAGTTTACAGAGCAAATTCATTTTCCCATACAGCAGTTCACACACATTTTGTTTTATGACATTGATTGCAATTCCCCACAATGCAAAAACTCTCTTCCTACTTCTTCCCTGTAGTGGCCTCTTCCCTGTGTCCTTCTTTCCTATGCATTCCTGCCCACCCCTAACCCCTATGCTGAGCTATCTCCTTGTGCAAACATTGCCCTTCTGTTCTCCCACGATTGGAGTGTATCTACATGATGCAGATGTAAACATTCACACTATATGCCTATCTATTGTTTGGCTGGAAGCCACAGGAGTGAGTTCAACTCCAGACCTGAAGGGTAACAAGGGGCCATAGTCTTGAGGGTCTCATCAGGATCTATCAAACCAGTCAACCTGATCTTTTTTTTTTAATGAGTTTGAGTTCTGTTCCCCATTGTTCTCCCACTCTATCCAGGATCGTCTGCACTGATCCTTCTCTGAGTAGTTGACAATGGTAGCCAGGGACCATCCAGTTCTTCTAGTCTCATGGTCATATAGGCTGAGGATCGCATGGTCTACCTCCAGTCCCTTGGACTAACTGTTCCCATGTATCTTTGTTTTCTTCATTCTTCTTTGCTGTGGACGAGGAGAGACCCATTGTTGCATCAAGATAGCCACCTGCAAACTTTTAAGACCCAAGTCACTACTCTCCAAAGTAAGAAAAACTTCGTTTCTAAGCCATCACCTCAATTATTTATAAGAATGTTAAGTGAACTCTGAGCAGGGTCCTGTGGCTCACCACAGTGCCCTTCCTCTAACTAAACTATCGTATTAATCAACTGAATTCACAGCTCTTAACCAATGACAACTCTCATTATCATCATCCAAACCAAAGACTTTCTCATTTCTCAGATATTTTGCTAAAGTCATGTGTTTAGTTCTATTATTCTGATGCTTCCAGAAATTCTACTCAAAAAGAAAGATTTAAAACAATTTATTC